AAAAAAAAAAAAATAAAAAAAAAAAAAAAAAAAAACAAAAACAAAAACAAAAAAAAAAAGAATGCAGAATTTCGTGGAATGAAAGCATTTTTGAAATTGCATGAAATACAACGCTGCGTATCGACTCGACGTCTTCGAGCAAGCTGCCCCTTAGGATCAACGGGTCTCTTCTTACGACAGATAATCGTCTAATTGCAATGACAACGTCGACATGGCGAAGAAGTCTTCTTCCTTGCCAGTAATCGCGGATTAACAATCGGGTGAAAAGTACAATACTGGAACAAGAGAAAAGTATAAAGAAGAAAGCAGGAAAAACGAAACGCGGACGTCTGTTATATTATGCTCGTCATTGATTCAAGCAAATTGTTATCTTTTTAAAATATTCTTTCGAGTTCATATTTTTTAAAATAATATAATTTTAATTGAGTAAAAAAAAAAATCTGAGGTAGGAGCGTCTTTGTATATTTAAACTTTTCTGCATAATAATTTGCAAAAATATCCTCAATCGTATTTTTTTGTTTTGGTTGTAAAGAATTTATTTCGTAATTAAAAAGATAAAACAGAGCACGATTAATTTTATATTTATCTATTTATTTGAAAAAGTAAAAAGCATTTATATCATATAAGTGCATTTTAAAATTTTGTCATTTTAAGTCGCTAAATATTATATTAATAGTAAATTAATAGTAAAGGTAGTATTTGAAAATTATTTATTTGAATTGGACGCGTGAAGGAGGATGGGCGGTTAACGACGGAGTTGCGCAACGGCGCACTTCTTGGTGTGCTCGGTGGACTACTGAGGCCGATGTTTTTGCGATAGTCTTTATATCGGCACTCGTGTATGGGGTCAGATTCTGTTTCTCGTAGCAGTTGCATTACGTTCACATAGTATATTAACCATTCAACATATTTAAGTCCGCGCCATTCGTGGACATGCTCGTCATGTGGTATTTACCTCACTTATATTTGAATTTGAAAAAGCGATCGACTAAAAATAAAATCAAAAATCATTACATATTATTCAAGTTAATATTTACAAATTCATTTTTTGTTTATCGAAATATGCTTTTTTATACAGAAAATATTTTTTTCGTTTAATAAATGTTTTCTTTCAATTTATAGTATACAAAACATTAATTAAAAAAAATATGCCGTTTTTATTTATAATAATTTTTATGCTACTTATTAAAATATAATAAAACAAAATAGTTATACTAATTTTAAGGTACATATAATTTTAACTTGCATATTGCTTACATTTAAATTGTTATTTATTACTATATTTATATTGATAAATATTTAGCCTTTGATTGAATCGTAAATGATTACATATTCATTTTTATATAAATTATTATATTTTTATATAAAGTAGAATACAAAATGGTATCTTTATTTAGTATCGTTACTTTAAAGATGAAAATAAATTTATATTTTTAATTTATTTGTGCATACGCGCAAAGAATAGAAAATTATTGTTAATGAATTGCGTAAAATCTTAATAATTTTCGACAAAAAAATTAGTATGTATTATTCGATCAAAAAAAACTTACTTTTACAAACGAAATGAAATGTTATCAAAGAAAATGCGTCTCGATTGTTGCGTACATATAATACATTAAGAGCACGCTTACAATTTGAAACATTTTTAAAATGAAGTAAATTATTTGAGAATGAATCAAAGGTTTATGGAAATAAAATTAAAAGCCGTATAATTAAAACCCGCATATTATTCCCCAGTTTACTATTATCACTTTTATCGAATACATTCTAAAAACATTTATATAATTATCAATATGACTTATCGACTTGATATATATTTCTTAGATTTTCTTTCTACGTATATAATAATTTTTGTTATTATTATACAATTATTAAATTTTTATTCGACATCAGTTTATTATACATGAAAGAATAACAAATTTTTTAAGTAAATTCGTTTAATAATAAACTTTCGTACTTTTTACAGCTATTGAGTATCATGTAACGAACATGCAAATACATAAATTTGAATTTAAAAATCTAAAAAATTCAAAAAATAGTAAACAAAATATTAAATATATAAAACTTTTATTCTTATGCATTAAAAATAATAAATAAAAGAAATAATATATGTAATAATTAATCTTAATATATGTAATTACAATCTTTTATATAATTAATGAAAAATAATAAATTATATTTAATTTATTGCATCGTTAAAAAATATAAAAAAATTTTAATTTAAATATATTTTTTCATTTAAAATAATTTTTTACTAATATTTAAAGGAAAATAATGTAATAAGAAAATATAATATAATATATGTTCTAAATTTACAATTTTACTTAAATTAATTTATTTACATTCTTAATTTTTTGATATTATCAATTTAAAATGATAGAACTAATATATACGAATTTATTCTTTCTTTTAAATCTGAAGTTACGAATAAATGAAATAATTCAGCATGTAGAAAATAATTGATCTATTAGTAAATTTATCGATTCGTTCATTATAAAAATCAAATGATGTAACTTATAATTATATTTATAAATGCGTAATTTAAAATATTTAATTTTATTATGTTTAATATTAAACATAGAATTATGTAAAAAATTCTTTTTATTAATAAATCATAGCGACTTCGTTCTTTTAATATTATTTTAAAATAAAATATTTTATATTATTAAAAAACAGTAATTATATTTTTGTTACAGATGCATTATGGATATCCTTCTTAGTCATTTTTTATCTAATATTTATTACCAGTATTATTTGCTTATAGATCTATCATGGAACAAGGAATTTACTTCTATCTTCATGCAGTTTTATAAAGTTATAAGTTCTTTTTCTTTCCAGGTGATGGAATTTTATATGGATTAATGCAGACTTATACAATTAAATATTGAACAACTGAATATTTATTTTACAGGATTACATTACTATAAATATAATTATGATTTTTTCTCATCATTAATCGAGTAAAGATAGAATTTTTGTCTTTCGTAATTGTAGCATCAAAAATTACTTAAAAATTATTTATAAAATACATTATTTATTAATTAATAATCAATAATTCTATAATTTGTATTTTTGATTTTTAAAAACTGAATATCTAATACAAATATTTTATTATGTAGATATATTAAGACGGTATTAATCTTTTCTCCCTATTTAATAATAGTAAAATATTTTACTACTTTTAATAATTTTGGTATATAAATTTTTTTTATTTTACTTATAAATATTTATTGCATTTTTTTTACAGCAATGGTTTTGCAAGAAAGTGATATGTTTATGGATGCTTTGACCGCATCAACGAAAAGTAAAGAACCGAGAAAGAGAAAACGAAGAACATCTATCACGAAAGATGGTCCCACGGAAGCTAAGAAACAAGAAACTGCCAATAGTGATAATCGTGATATTACACCTCCACCTACTTCACCACCAAGTGCCGATGAAAAATCACCCGTTGTTGTCAAGCCTAATTTTAAAGTACATATAATTATAATGCATTAATGATGAAAATTAATATATGTCTTATATAACTATAAAAAAATTTTTTTTTAAGTTTTATCAAGATACGTTAGAGACAGATGAAGATAAAGAACAAAAGGAAAAGGAAAATTCAGATGAAGATGCGAAAAAAGAGAAAGAAGAAACGATAGACGATCAAAAAGAAAACAGAATATTCAAAACGGATATCGATGATGATGCTAGAAGTAACAGTAAGTCATTTTATTTCCATTTATCAATTTAAATAAATATTTCATTTTAAATATATATATTTCTAAAAAATTTTTTTAAATATTTAATTACTTTTTAGCACCAACACCGGAAGATGATACGGAAGAAAAAACTAATTCTCCGGAAGATATATCTTCTATGTCTGAATCAACGAAGAAAGAAAATATTGGTTCTTATCCAGAAATACGATACGTTGATGGTTTAAGAAGTGTTTTATTACTTCAAAAACGCAAAGGACCAAAGAAAATATTAAAATGGAAAACAGATCTTGAATCAGTGCGTTATTTCGAATTAGATGAAACGGAGAGAGTAAACGTTACGAAAACGTTTACTGATATGAAACAAATGGAGAAACAAAATGAGAGGGAAGCATTCCAGATGGCTAGAAAATTAAGTAAGTTATTAAAATATGATTTCTTTATTGTACTAAATATTAAAAAAGTGATGATTTAAAAAATGATCTTATAGGTAATGAAGACTTAATGGAAGAAAGAACAAGATGGAAACCTTTAATTTCAATTGATTTACCGCCACCTTTAGTAGAGCCTGGAAAAGATAGTAGAGAAAAAGATATTCAATATGCTCGAGAAAAAGGAATATTACAGGCACTATATTTTAATCGAAGCATGTATGTATATACATTAGATTTTTTCTTTATTAAAATTAAATTTAATTATGCATGTGAGACACACAAATATAATTACATATTTGTGTAAGAGTAAGCATGCCATATTAACAGAATAAGAACTTTGAACCATTGGATAGTTTAATATATGAACTATAACTCACTGATGCAAGTTCTACAAAATATATTTAAAAAATATCTTATTATAAAGCAAAGTATTTTATTTGATATATGAATATTTTTAATTTTCAGGATTCCAGATTCTGCTGCAGAGCCCGATGAAGAACGACATCATGTATATAACGAACCTAAAATCATTCCTCTGGATGATCTCACAGGAAATAAGGAAAGTGAGAAAGATTTTACATCTATGCCATGGCCAGAACCAAAACCTCAATTGCAACCTCAAACACCGGCAGTTTCGAACTTTCATTATCCATCATTTTCTCATAATCAACAACCAGTAATGACACCTATGGGTCCTCAAACTTCAATGGGCCCAATACCTCAAATGTCTCAACAAATGATGGGACCTTCTCATATGGGTCCAATGGGTCCTGAAATGGGTGGTCCAATGTCTACTGGAGGAGGAGGAGCAGGAGGAGGAGGTGGATGGAGAACTGGAGATGGAAAAGTTGTTGTACCTGATGGAATGGGAATGAATCCAATGGGAAATATACCAAATGCATTTCCACCAGGAATGGAAGGTGGTCCAATGGTACCACCTGGAATGATGGGACCGCCACCTATGTATAATCAACAACAAGAAGGTTATGGTATAATGGGTCCAGAAGATATAGGATTCAATAATATGAATCCAAATAATTTTCAAGGACCTCCTGGTCCATTATATGGTCCTGGACCTAACTTCCAAGGTCCTAGAGGTGCTGGTCCAATGCATGGTAGAGGTAGAGGTGTTCCTGGACCTGGTTGGTATAGAGGTGGTGGAGGACCTCCTGGAAGAGGTGGATGGAGAGGAGGTGGTGGTGGATGGAGGGGAAATGGAAAACAACCACCTGTGTGCCGACAATTTTCAAAAAATGGTTATTGTCGAGTCGGTGACAAATGTCAATATTTACATCCTGGAGTGAATTGTCCACCATTTTGAAATAATTTAAAATAATGAATAATTTGAAATTTTCATAGTAATGTAACATAAACATTCATTCTATTTGATATGAATCAATAGGAATGAATGGACTACTGAAATCATATTAGACACAAGCTCACATTAGCTAAAAAATTTAATAATGTGCAATCTTTTATTAAATAATGCAAAGAATTAAGCACATGATATTTACACTTATATTTTCACGAGATTTAAACTATTTAATTTAATATTCGATAATTTTCAATTTATTTGCATCATATAATACGAAAGATAAATATTATAAAAAGAAAGCATAATAAATTTATTTTTCGTGAAATGTACTTGCAGATTTTCAAGATTGAAAACTGCTTTAAATCTAAAATGACAATGAAAGAAAAACAATAGGTTCATCGGCTGCTGGACGGCAAGAGGTTCCTACATATTACTTTTTATTATAATTTCGAATAGATATTTTAGAAAAAATTTGAAGGAAAAAATACTTTTATTTACTTCCAAAATGTATTAAAAATTATGGCACTTCACATAAAATGATATCTCGATTAATATGTCTTCCCTTTACGTTCGCGGTTTACAAATAGTAGCCACTGCCGAAAGTATGGTTGATGTAATCAAAAAAATAGAATCGTTGCAAGTTTTAATCTTATTGGCATGACGAATAGAGTGATTTCAAATGATATGACACTAGTAAGCAGGAAGTGCAAATTCCAATTTAATAAGCATTTGTCTTTCCGATTGCCAGTTGGGTGTTTTATCGCTTTCTACATACTAATGAATATATGTAATTAAAATGCTGTTAAAATGAATTAAGCGTAATATAACAATGGAACATCATAACACCAAAAGTTCAAATAATGATTTAAGTAACTTTTTATTAAATTAAAATATTTAATCGTGTATGTAGATTGATTGTAAATATTATAATTGTATCATTTGTATAAAACGTCGCTAGCTCTAATAACAAGAGACTGTTTTAGGCTTAAATAATATGTAATAATATAAAAGAAAGCAAGAATTTTTAGTAAAAATGTATGATTTGAACTAGTTAAATGCAAAAAGATCTAATATTTATAGAGTATATTTTCACATACAACACATTTGAATATGTGCTCTATGAAATAGATCACTGATATATTATTGTATTAAATATTTTTTACGAATTAAGGGTAGTGGTTATCTTTTGTATATGATTGATCGTTATGTTTGTATATAACATTGATTGTTGTATAAGAGCTGCTTGATGGAATACATGAATCACACCTATTTTCTAAAATATGCTGCATTATATCAATGCTTCCTTTATGACTTCTTTATACATTTTATTTTCTTCTCGTATTTTTAAATATTACTATTTATCTTTTCAATTTTATATAAAGCCATTGTTTTTATGTTTATAGTTATCTATTTTATTAATAATATATAATTTTTTCAAAAGCGTTAACAATTAATGTTTAAATAATAAGTTATTAATAATTTTATAATCTACATTAATATAATGTATTATATAAAGTTTAATTAAAAAAGAAACATCACAGTATTGAATACTTAATTTATTACATTTAATTAAATAGACTTAGCAAGTGTAATATAGTAATATAGTAAATTTATATTATAATATATGTAATTTTAATTAATATAACTTTAATATTAATTATTCATAAACATTTTAAATATTTTATGAAGGTTTATGGTATAAAAATTTAAATAATAATTAAATAACAAATTATATATATATCATATATATAAT